CTCCAGGCTAACTGTGGGCGAGAGACATGTTTGTAAGCATCTGTGCACCTCGCTCCAGGGGCCTAGATATGCCTAGGTGAAGCCTAGAGGCTTGAACTACCAGCCGGAGGGCTATTAAAGAGTACGAGCCGGGATACCTCTGTGGTCAGACCCTACACGTGCTGAAAGATTTGCCAAATCCATTACCTCGAGAAAGAAAAACAGGCCAGAAATGGCCTGATCAGTGTCATGTGGGAAAGTAAGTCTCCTAACCCAGTTCTGCTGCCTTTCTCCACACGCCTCATGACAGGTGGTGCTCTCCTCGTCATCTGGGGTCTCCGATCCTGCCCTATCGCCAGTGTTCGATAGCTGTACTGATGTCACCAGCCATTGAATGGCCTGAACAGAAAACAGGAGAGTCATCCACAACACCTCTTCCTCTTTCAGTCCCCACACGCCAGACATCTCCCAGTCCTAGAAATTCCTAGAATCAATTCACTTCTATCTCCACTGCTTTCAGCCAAGTCAGGCGACAAATATTTATTGAAGACCATTGTGAGGAGCCATTCCAGATACTAGGACACAGGTGAGCAATGTCCCCACCTGCAAGGGTCTTACACTTTGGGTATGTGTGAGGGAAAGCACAGAGGTTCTGTTTGCACCATTGCCTGACACCGCGTGACCATGTCGCCTGCGCGGGAGTTACAGGTGGCATGTACATGACTGTGAGTGACGCCCCTCGGGGCCTCCAGCCGTCCCCAGCCGTCCAGGCGGGCCCCCGCTCCCACTTTCTCAGCAGGAGCGTAGCCCGCTCTTGGACGGGAATGTGAGCGGCACCGGGAGAGTGTTCCAGAGCCCTGGGGACTTTCAGCAGGCGAGGATCGCTCTCCTGGGGACCTCCTAGGGCTGGCGTGATGGGGTGGGCATGGCCACCCCCCTGGGCGGTCAGCGTCCAGGCGGCCATGACTCTGTGCCTCTTGGGGGGGGCGGTGCCAGCACAGCCTCCTCTCCCCAGTGAGCCCCCCAAGTATTCCCCCAGACACAGCTCCCTTCCTGTCCTGCAGGGTTAGTTTGTCTCAGTGCTCAGGCCTCACGCAGTCCTCATATCAGTGTCTGGTCCACCGTGGACCTTCCTGGCTGACCTCCAGCCAGCCGGACCCCCGTCCTGCCCCCTAGAATCCCTCCCTCCCCTAAGACCCGCATGGAGCCCCCCGGAACCCCTCTCTATACCAGGACCTGCGTCCAGCCCCCCGAATCCCCTCCCTTTCCCAAAATTCCTGTCCAGCCCCTGGAACACCCTCCCTCCCCCAGGACCCCCTTTGTCCCGGCCCCAGCACCTCTCCCTCCCCCAGGACCCCTCCCCAACCTTGCCATCCTCCCTCCCACCCTCAGACAAGGGCAGACGACACAGTTTTCACAGCAGTGACTTTATTGGATTCGTTCCAGAGTGGCCCCCCTGGTGGGCTTTGGGCTCTCGGGAACCGGCTTCTCGCTGCCGCGGGCTGGACGGCGCAGCTGAGGGCTCTGGCTCTGGAGCGACAGGGGCCCAGGAGCGCGGGAAGGCGGGTGATGTGGCCCCGCTCTCCTGGGCCCCGGGGCCTCTCAGTCGCTGTCGGAATCCGAGTCCGGCTCCCGCCGGGCCTTGGGTCTCGGGCGTGGCGCCGGCCTTGTGGCCGTGGGTCTCATGGACGCGTCCTTGCAGCAGTTCCTCTGCAGGGTGGCAGCCAGGGGCCTCTTGGGCATCCGGGCCTTCTTGGCCCCCTGCGGAGAGCCAGGGTGAGGGCCGGGCGAGTGTGTGCGGGCTCGGCCCAGGCCAGGGTGGCCAGGCCGCAGGGAATGGGGGCCGGGAGTCCAGGGGCAGGGAGGAGGGCGGGCGGGTCTGCTCACCTTGCCCCTGCGTGTGCGTGGGCGCCTGGGCTGGCGGCGGGGGGCCCTTCTCTTCCTCCTGGGCTTCCCGGTGGCCTGGGGCTGCTTCTTCCCAGCGCGGGCAGCACGCGCTCCTCTGGCAGCTTTCGCCATCGCTGGGTCTTCTGTGGGACTAACCCTGGCTCTGCGGGCCGCTGTATACACCCTCCCTGCGCCGGGAGGGGCCCCTTCGGCTTTGTTTGCTCAGCAAGGCCCCCTGCTCCCCGGCCCCAGCCCACCAATCCCGTCCCAGGGCAGGCGTGAGCTCATAAAGGTCATGGGGGTTGGGGGAGTGCTGGCCAGGCCAAGGGGTTGGGGGTGATTGGGCTCTTTAAAGGGGATCTTGGGGATAACACCCCCAAGCGTCTTCCAAAGTGTCCCGCCACCCTCCTCCTCATCTGTCACGTCAGTTCTGCTGGGTCACACGTTGGGAGAGGGTGTGTCCCCCAAGCCAGGCCCAACGGACACCCTTCTGGGTGGTCCCCTCCGCCGTCACCCACCCTGCGCCATTGCCAAGGCGCATCTTCACCTTCCATAAACCCAGGATCAGGCGGCCACGGTCAGGTCTCTGCTTTTTCTCTTGTATCTGAGAGAATACAAGAGATACAAAAATGGAGTATCGTTGGGTGACAGTTTTGTCTGTGGGCGCTCTGAATACATCTTTCCCTTCTCTCTAGTGTTTCTGCTGGCAAGTTTAATGTAAGCCTCCTGGGAGTGTCTTTGGAAGAGCCCTGCTTTTTTTTCTTTGCCACAGTGTACTTTCTCTGCCATAGGCTCTCGCTACCTCCACCAGTATGTCTTGCCTGTCTCATTGCATTTAGGGAACGGTGTCCTGTTAGCTTCGTGGACTTGCATTTTTGACTCCCTGCAGGTTTGGGAAGTTTCTCGCTATGGTTTCCTCGCATGAGTTTCTGTCACCGCCCCCTTCCTCTTCTGGGATACGCTTATTCTTATGTTCGCTCTCTGCAAGGTGTCGGATTGTTTTCAAAGTGCTTCATTTTTCTTTGTTCACATCTCATTTCTCTCTTTTTCGCAGCTGGATTCTTAGTGCATGTTTGATGTCATTGATTCAACCCGTCATTTGGTCTCTCCTACTTCTGCAGCGTTCTTGATCTCATTTATTGAACTCTTTAACACCCCAATTTCTGTTACTCTGGACTTCACTGTCATTCCACCCTGCCTCTTCCCCACGTGCAAGTTCTCTCCCTCCTCTGCCAGTCGACAGGCAGATGGGAGAAGCAGGTGCACCTCCACTTGCATTTCTCGAATCTGAGGTGAAAAGGGATAGCACCGCCATTTAGACTTAATCCAGGCCCCCCGGGGGCACAGGGGTCACAGCACAGCGCTATGAAGCTGTCCGCAGCCCCTGCAGCTGAGTTCCATCCCTGTGGGCACAACAGACCTCTCTGGTCACCCCACCCCGCTGCTCCCCTCAGCAGTGTGTTTCACTCGATCTGTTCTGCTCCCCACTCTGTCTCTAGCAAATCTTCTCACCCCTGCATCACTGGCCTGCACCCCTGTTCTTGTATGCATAAATAAAAGTTAAATCTTCAAAAAAATAAACTTGATCCAATCTCTTATCACCTTGCAAAGTTAAACAACAAGAAATAGTGGAAGAAGGGGTGCTTGGGCAGGTGCAGCGCACACCGCCTGCTCAGGCCTCCCACACCCCTGCTTGCCTCTCCTGGTTAATCATCTCTGTGGAAGGCCGTGGGTTTTCGTGCGATTGTCTTCTTCAATTTTGACTTAAGGCATTTCTCGCTCTCAGCCATACCCAGTTGGGCAGCCACACTGGAGAGGAAGCAGAGCAAGGCACACAGGCCGGCAGTTGATGTGTGCGGTTTGGATGTGGGGAGCCCGTCGCACCTTGTGATGGCATGCCCTCGAGGGCTCGTGCTCCCTGCGTTAGGCTTCTCTGTTCCCCCTGCTATTTGATGTCTCCCACTACTATCTGGTAAATGTCTGTAACAGTACCCTAGGGGGTGAACTATGTTACTCTCCAGTGGTGCTGTGGTTTCCTTTTATGTTCGTGCTTTTGAGGGCCTCTGTGTGCACCTGGTGGTCAGCAGGGTTGGGGAGGCCCTCTCGCACTGGGACAGGAGACTCAGAAGCACATGAGTTCTCCATGAACCTGGCAGAAAAGACGTTCTGGCGTCGGTCTGGCTGCCTACGGAAGTTCAGCCATCTACATGTAGTGGCCAGTTTCCCTCCTGTGAAACCAGACTGCAAATATCTGGGAAGTTTTTAAAGCCTCTGTTTGAGCTTCAGGGTTATAGGCAGAGAAACACGTGGGCCCAATCAGACTCTACTGGTCAGTTAGCTGCGCAAACATTTAAGGGTGTGCCACAGACATTTAGCAGCATGGTCAGGGGCCAAAGGCCACTCTGAATTGGGAGCTTTTGCTGTGGGAAGTGCCCCAGGTGGCGGGGGTGGGCTCCAGCAGTCTGCAGGCGTGCAGCCTGGACTGGCGGGCGGTGCCCTGGGGGCAGGGGGGCCCAGGGGCGCGGTGAGGAGCTGCTCAGCCGTGAGATCCCGACTTGGACAGGAAGACGCACAGGGAAATGGAGTTTGGGGGAGTCCTGGGACTGAACAGCGATGCTGGCGCCGTCAGAGTCAGCTCTCAAGGGGCCCTGGGGCACGGGCAGAATGAAGAGAGAGAGCCAGAGAGAGCCAGCCGCTGAGCTGCAGTCATCATTTCAGGGGAGGGAGAGCACCTTTGCCCACAGCCCTGCAGGTGATGGCTCTAAAGCGCGCACTGCTATAGACTGACGAGGCATAAGCAGCAAGAACTCTACATTTATTTGTTTCTTAACGCCATACATGTTTCTGCTAAGTTCTGTCACATTTCCAAGGAAACCCCATTCCAATGCTATAGTACAGAACTATGGTCACAAAGTAAGGTGGAGGTGTACAAGACAGAACCGCCTAGAGCCCAGCGTGCCAGTGCAACCGCCACGTCACCAGCACAGCTGACACTAGCAAACTTTCTACTACGGGACAACACGCAAACAAGTCCTAAATGGAAACGAGAAGCGATTCCTCAGCCACCGCGGAGGGCAGGGCCCAGGGATGCCGCACCCCAAACCCCCACACCCCCAGCGCCCTCTGCCTGTGGCTCAGAAGTACCTGGGATCCCTGCTATTGACCCTGAGAAAAAAGTCCAGGACTCCCACCTTGCTGGTCTCGGCGTGAGCCCGGGGGCCCCACAGGAACTCGTAGCGGGGGGGATCACTGTGGGGCACCTGCCGGTACTCCAGGTAGTGCTCCTGCACCAACACTTCGGTGAGGAGCTCCCTGGGCTCCCCGTAGATGAAGTGCTCCACCCCCTCATGCACCCCCACGGCCCCCAGAGCTTCCCACACGTGCGCCTCGGAGGCACGGTCGCCACCCAGGAGGACCACGGCCAGGACCATCACCAGCAGGCCCGTCTTGGGCAAGGTCTCCTCAGGGCTGGTCAGCCCGTCGTAGGTGAGGCCCAGGGCGATGATCACGACATAGGTGTCGCCATCCGGGTTTGCTTCCTGCACCTCCAGCCCGAAGACCAGCTGCAGACACTCGCAGGCCTGGCGGAAGGCCACAGGGAAGTGCTCCTGGTCACCGCCGAGGACCACATGCACCATTTCCGCCTCGGTGACCAGCTCCTTGACGCGGTACTTGAACAGCAGGAAGCACACCAGGTTAGCTATCTTCCCCTGCAGTGCTTCCTGCGGGGAGACCGAGGCTGCTGCGGCCCCCTGCGAGGCGCCCAGCCCTTCCTCCTCCTGGCTGCTGGTGCTCTCCTCCTCAGACTGGCTCCAGGGAGCAGCACCCAGGACCACTGGGGAGGAGCAGGTGCTGGGAGAACTCAGGGACCCAGAAGAGGCCTCCTCTGAGGCATCCCGGAACACGATAGAGGTGAAGTGAAAGGTAGAGGAAGAGAAGAATGAGGGGAATGAGGCCTCCTCCTCCTCCCCCTCCTCCTCCCCCTCCTCCTCCTCCATCACCACCAGCTCCTCCTCCTCCTCAGCCCTAAACAGCTGCCCCTGCTCCAAGTAGTAGGCTTCTCTTGGGTCCTGAAGCTCCTCCTCAAATGCGTAGAGCTCACTCATGTAACTCTGAGGCATGACTCCCGCTCGGCAACTGTTGGGGGTGGATGGAAAGTGGCCTGGGGGAGAGAGGTGGACTGTGTGGCTCCAATGGAGAAACCCCCCAGCACCCTGACAAGGGGCATACAGGCTCCTGTGTAAGGGAACACTTGGGCCTCACACGCTCCGTCTTCCTGGGTGATGCCCCTAAGAACTTGAAGGCTGCTCAAGAACTTGAAGGTGCCACAGCCTGAAGTTCTGGGCTGATTGTGGGATGGGTCAGGAAGTGTGGGGTCCCCTCTGCTCTGGGGTCACAGGTTCCCTTTGTACTCACTCTGGCCACACCTGCCCAGGGTCTCAGGGTCCTGTGTGGGAGGAAATGCTGGGCCTCTCCTGGAGCCCTGCCAGGGCTGACCAGACCCTCGGACCAAGGCCCTCCCCTCCTGACCTGGGCCTGGCCCGAGAGCCCTGCCGGGATGTCCTGGCTGACAGGAGGGGTAGCCCAGGCTTCCCTGAGCCTCTTTGTTCTGGGCACTGAGATTCCCTGGGTCCTCACTCACCTGGACTCTCGGCAGGACCTGGGACTCCTATCTCAGGTGACAAGAAGTAGCTCCCTGATGACCTGGTGTTGTCCTCTCAGACAAGATAATCTCCCTGAAATCACAAAAGGAAGACAAGGAGCCCCCCCTCCCCCCAGTGATCAGAAGTGCAGTGTCAGGCACAGCCCCACTGTCCTGGGGTGGGTTCGCTGTCTTCCCTCCAGCCAGGTCTGCCCTGCCTCCTGCCTCCGGCCCCGGCCCGGGATGACTCGACACCCCCTCGGCAAGACCTCACTCCCTGAGGCCTCCCCCCTTCCCGACATGGTCCGCCGGAGCCTGCACTTGGGCCACTACTGACTGGGTCCTTCCTGGCTGAGAGGGCGCAGCTGGACCCTGTGTGCTCCCCACTTTGGGGCACACAGTGCAGCCAGCACCTCGACTCCTGGCTGGTCCCGGTACTCCTCTCTGTTGACCTGCTGTCACCGCTCAGACCAAGGTCCTCAGGTCCCTGAGGCCCCACCCGCAGCCCAGTGACACCAGTGAGGGCATGTCCAGCTGGCCGGCCTGCCCTGCTCCGCCCTCTCTGTGCTGGGAAGGCGCACTCTTGCAGCTCCTTGTCTTTTGGGGGGGGGGAGCCTTCTTGCATCAGTTCTCACACTCTTGCAGCTCCTTGTCTTTTGTGGGGGGGAGCCTTCTTGCATCAGTTCTTGCAGAGAATACAGTCCTGGCGGAATATGCAGCTCCCTTCTCCACCAGTGAGATGGGGGGTGCCCTCTGTGGACCTGACGTCCCCCTCAGAACAAGAGGTTGGGGTGATGACAGGTGAGGCATGCCACAGGGGGACCCCGGTGTCCTCAGGGCACCATCTAGTCATGCCTGGCAAGGCTCTTCCACCCTGCAGACTGCAGGCATGCTCTGGTGCCCTGCCTACCTGACTGAGCACCCTAGATGGAGGAGGGGGAGAGCTCTATAGCCCCTGCTGTATCTCCAGGGGCGCCCTCGGGGGCCTGCTATGCCCCTGGAAGGCAGGGGAGGCCTGGCCCTCCCTCGGGGTTGCTACCTTGCCTCCAGCAGGATCTGGCCTGCCCCTTTTGCCAACTTGAGCCCTTTATTATAAGAAAGCCCCTAGTCTTGCTCAGATGCAGCAGATGTCAAGAAATGCCATCTGTGATCATCCCACCCTTGGGTCCCTCCAAGGATAACAGCAGGGGTGGTACTATGGTGCCTGCCCTGCTCTGGCAGCTGGGGCCCCCTCAGCCCTCCCTCAAAGGTTCTCTCCTTGACTCCCAGCCAGACATGAGCTCTCCCCATGCTGGCCTGAGGGCCTGATCCTTATACCAAGTCCCTGGTCTCTCTTAGACCTGAATTTGGAAGTGAGATTGCCCCATGGTCACAGGGAAGGAGGTGTTCCTGAACTGGCAGGAGAGTGCTTCTGTGGGGGTCCCCCTTTTTTAGGCCCTCCCCTCGTTTCCACTTTGAGTCCCCGCAGGGCCCATTCCTCCCTGGGTAGACCTGAGGCCCTGCTCCTTATATCAAGTTCCAGTCTCTCTCAGAATGCCATATGGGAATCCTTGCCCCAGGTCTGACAGCAAGGAGGGGCTTTGTGGGGTTTCTTCACTTCTAGGGTACAGGGTCCCTCAATATTTCCCCAGACCCTCACCTTGACTCTAGACGCCTGTGCTTTCCCTCAGTGGGCCTAAGGCTCTGTTTCTCATATCAAGACCCAGCGGAAGTCAGGATGGTATAGCCCCCAGAAATTGTGTGGGGTCCCTCAGTTGTAGGGTCCAGGGTCCCTCATTGCTTCCTCAGAGTCTTCACTTTGACTTCTGACAGGACCAGGTCTCCCTCTGCTAGCCTGAGGCTCTCTGTGTCTCTTTTACCAATTTCCCAGTCTCACTTAGACCTGTATGCAAAAGTCAGGACACTCTGTGATCATACCACTTTAAGGTCTCCCAGGATTGATGGCAGGGTCAGGATTCTGTAGCGACCTGTTTCTGCAGGGTCCCCTCTCTCCGGGGGTTCAGGGTCCCTGAGTCCTCACTCAGGCTGCCCAGCTTTACTCTTGGTAGGAGTTGGACCAACTTGCTTCTTTTTCAAGCCGCTTCTTTTTCAGACCTCCCAGACTGAAACCACGAATTAGAATTCCAGCGTCACTGAGTAATAAGGGTGGCTGGGGTACCTACTGTTCTGGGGTCCAGTGTCTCCTCAGTTCTTCCCTCTGGTCCCACTATGCCAAGTATGGAAAGCCTCGTGCCCCCACCCCTAACTCCCCACTTCAGAGTGCGCTCCTCAGAGCAAGGCTACCACCTTCGACCTTCCAGCGGAAGTTGGAGGACGTCACATCCGCCCAGCGCCTCGGGCCCCTCTCCGCCCCCCCAAAGCTGTCATGAGGGGTGGAGAGGATCCCATGGAGGTCTCTCTGTCCCTATTCTATTCCTTAGCTTGACTCTGGCAGGGCCTGACCTTCCTTCTGTAACCTCAGCGCGTTCCTCTCACCAAGGGTCTGACTCCCGGAGTGTCCTGAGGAAACGTGTGTGGCGGGGTGATTACCCTGACTACCCTGTGTGGGTTCCTCGGGTATTTCATTGAGGGGGAAACCTGTGTGATTCCCCCCTCAGTACTCCTTCAGGGTCCTCACCTTGACGCAGTCCTCCTTCAGGGTCCTTACCTGGACCTGAGTGCGCTGCCCTCAAGGCAAGGTTCTCACCTCGGACCCCTGAGCGGAAGTCCGTATATGTCACATCCGCCCGCGCTTCTCTCTATCTCTTCCCCCCTCCCCTTGGGCTTCCACGAGGGGCTGAGATGGATTCCGTGGGGTTGTCTCTATCCACCGTGGTCCTCACCTTGATTCGGGCAGGGTGGGGCTTGTGCTGTCACCCGAACCTGCTCTCCTCACCAAGTCTTCCACTTCCCAAGTTCCTTGAGCAAATGCGGTTGCTCACAGTAACAAAACTGCCCAGATCCCTCAGGCATTTCATGGGGAGGGAGGGAAATCTGTATCCTCCCTCTGAGCCCCACCTTGACTCATCTCAGGCAGGAGTGAGTTCTCTGTCTGCCAACCCGAGTGTGTGCCCCTCAGAGTAAGGTGCTCACCTCATCCCTCCTAGCACGGTCAGTGGACGTCACATCCACCCAGCGCCTCTGACCCTCCTGCCGTGTCGCCCCCAGAGATGGGTCCAGGAGGGGTCTCCCCACCCCTATTCTATTGTTCACTTTCACTCAGAGCAGGTCCTGCATTCGCCGACCTGATCGTGCACCCCACAGACCAGGACCGACTCCCGAGTTCTCTGAGCAGGCGGGGGTGCTCATGCAGACCTCTCTGCTGGTCCCCCACAGCCGTTATTGGGGCGCAGTGGGTCCCCCGAGAGGCCACCCCATCCTCATCCCTCGCCGCCCCGGCGAAGAGGCCGCCCCAGGACAGTGCGGTGGGGGCTGAGGCCGCTGGGTGCCGTCAGAGCAGGGGCCTCTCCCCAGGGCGCCTCAGCGGTGGACGCCCCGACTTGGGAGGCCTGGTGGCCACACAGGGATGGTGACTGCGGAGCGGAGCCGCGGGCTGGGGGAGGCCGCTCGCTGGAGGAGACCTGGGGTGGCGCCGTGGGGGGTGTGAGGGTCGCTTGTAGCCTCAGGAAGCTGCCTTCCGCCTCACCCCTTTGTAGGGGTCGGAATGCGTGAAAGCGCCCTGCCCTGGCAGTCTGTGCACCCCGCGGTACCCTGTCTCCAGTCTCCTCACTGTCTATAGAAACAGCTCCCTCACTTGGATAGTTTCGGAAGCTGCGGTGCAGACGGCTACTGCCTCAGCCAATGCCATCTTCCCTGCCATCCTGGTAGTGCCCTAGAGCGCCCGGGCGGTGACCTGAGGGTCTGAGATTCGTGCCCTGAGGCAGCACCGGAGGTAGCCCTCCCCCTGATCGCGGGCATCTGCGCAGGCGGAGTTCCCACAATCCCCGCCGCTCCATCGTCCTCCGCCATTTGCACCCATCAGCCAGCGAGTTTCGGCCTCCGGTTTTGTTGTTCACATGTTGCTGTTGCCGTGGTTTCTCCCTACTCCAGTAGTTTTCCCAGTTGCGCGGGTGTCTGCTTAGCAGCCTGCACTGGTGTGGCAGTGGCAGGAGAGGCCCAAGTGTGTAAACCGCTTCCCACGAGTCTGTGCCTCCATGAACATGTTAAGCTGCTGCTTTAGGTTGGCATTTCTTTTACCCAAGCCTACCGCTCAGCTCGCGTGCACGGCCAATGTAGCATGCAAACACTCCACAATTGTTTACATGCTTCCTCGCTGTGTTTGCATGATATGCAACACGATACAATCACGTATGTGTCACGTATGGTGTGCATACTGTATCTACTTCCATCCTCTGTGTTCTTCGGTAATTCTTGGATTTTATTGCTGCTGTGAATGGCGTATGGTCAGTACTTGCTCTGATTACCGATTTTGTGTGGCAAAGCCCTTTATTTTGCTGCAGTGACCTCCACACACAGCTGAAGTCTTAGCCACTTGAACAC